CCCCTCTGTAGTTTGTGTCTCTGCCCCTCCCACAATGGGGAGATTCCCCTCTGTAGTTTGTGTCTCTGCCCCTCCCACAATGGGGAGATTTCCCTGCAGTAGTTTGTGTCTCTGCCCCTCCCACAATGGGGAGATCTCCCTGCAGTAGTTTGTGTCTCTGCCCCTCCCACAATGGGAAGATTCCCCTCTGTAGTTTGTGTCTCTGCCCCTCCCACAATGGGGAGATTCCCTCTGTAGTTTGTGTCTCTGCCCCTCCCACGATGGGGAGATTCCCCTCTGTAGTTTTGTGTCTCTGCCCCTCCCACAATGGGGAGATTCCCCCCAGTAGTTTGTGTGTCTCTGCCCCTCCCACAATGGGGAGATTCCCCTCTGTAGTTTGTGTCTCTGCCCCTCCCACAATGGGGAGATTCCCCTCTGTAGTTTTGTGTCTCTGCCCCTCCCACAATGGGGAGATTTTAGTTTGTGTCCCCCCCCAGTCCATCCCTGTGGATGCAGTTGCTGTTTAGGACTTCAAAATATTTGTTGTCATTTTTGCTTCTTGTATGTTCTGTGATTATTTGTCGGCCATTTCTGCATATTTGTTCAGGGAAGCGGATCCTGAAGAAGCACGCTGTGTGTGAAACGCGTCGTCCCGCCATGTTCTGTGATTTCCGTAACACATTAGATATGGCGCCCGCGCTGCTGGGGATTTCATCCAAATTGTAATGTGGGATCTGTGTGGAGTCGTACATTTATTACTATGTGTGGAGTCGTACATCTATTATGTGTGGATCGGTGTTGTGCCGCATCTGGGGGCCCCACTCTGGAGGATGGAATGTCAGAAAGACGAAATTCTGTGATCTGAGATGGGGCCAGGAGTGGGATCTGTAGGATCCCGCCTAGGAGATCATAGATAATAATGTGCATCACAGCAGGAACCTGTGTAGGATAATAATAATAATAATAATAAAAATGTATATATTACATCAGGAACTTGTATATAATAACATTGATGATAAATATAAAAAAGTAAAATAATTATATATATATATAGAAATTTTTTTAATTATTATTACTATTATTATAATAATTATTATTATTATTATTATTATTATTAATAATAATAATACAAATATATGTATATATATATATATATATATATATATATATATTACATCAGGAACCTGTATATTATGATATTGATGATGATGATAATAATAAAAATAATTTTAAAAAAGAATAAAAATATGCATTACATCAGGATCCTGAATATGATAATATTGATTGTTATAATAATAATAATAATGATAATATTAAATAAAAAATATATATTTAAATCAGGAACTTGTATATAATAACACAAATGATGATAATTATAATAAAAACAATAATAAAAATATACTATATACTACATCAGGAAATTGTATATAATAACAGTGATGGTGATAATAATAATAATAATATATATTACATCAGGAACTTGTATATTGGGGCAGCACAGTGGCTAAATGGTTAGCACTTCTGCCTGGCAGTTGGTTCATCGTTGGTTCGAATCCCAGCCACAGCACAACCTGCCTGGAGTTTGCATGTTCTCCCTGTGCCTGCGTGGGTTTCCTCCGGGTAGTCCGGTTTCCTCCCACACTCAAAAGACATGCTGGTAGGTTACTTGGATCCTGTCTAAAATTGGCCCTAGTATGTGTATGTATGAATGAGAGTTAGGGACGTTGGATTGTACGCTCCTCGGGGGCGGGGACTGATGTGAATGTACAATATATATGTAAAGCGCTACATAAAAACGGTGCTATATAAGTAAATGAAATAAATAAATATAGTAACATTGATAATAATAATAATATATTTAATCAGGAAGTTGTATATATTAACATTAATAGTCAAGGAGTGCCCGTGCCTCCCCCACCCCCCTGTGCCTGCTGTCCCCCCCCCCCGGCCTGTTGTCACCTCACCCTTCTGTTGTCACCTCCCACCTTCCCTCCCCCCTTCCTGAGCCCTCTCATCCTGCCACAGCCTTTAAAGACAGGCTGTGCAGGATGAGAGGAAGTGGCCCCTGTGGCGAGGATCACACCTCTCCCTGCAATATCGCTTGAAGAGTTGCAACCCCCCACCAGGAGACCCCGGCACAGTGCCGCGGATCTGTCTCCGCGTGCCCCCCCAGCGGGCGCAGCGCGGGCACGAGGCTTCCCGCGCTCTGCACCCGCCGGAGACAAAGGCCACGCTCCCTGAGCGTGGCCCGAGTGAGGGGGGCGTGCCTCGTTGCCCCGGCAACCCGATGCTGGGGCCGACCGTTGCCGGGGCAACCAGGAAGCATCCTGCACCTGCTTAAGAAGGCCGGCGTGGGACCCAGCCTGCGGTTCGTCAACCGCTCGGGACAGGGTGCTGTGCGGGGTCTGAGCTCTGACCCCACAGCCAAGACCCTGCAGACTCCCTGCAACCCTGCTCGAGAAGAGAAGCACTGTGTGGGGTCTGAGCTGAGGCCAGACCCCACAGCCAAGACCCCGCTGAGTCCCTGCAAGCTGTTGGTCCCCTGCTCGAGAAGAGAAGCACTGTGTGGGGTCTGAGCTGAGGCCAGACCCCACAGCCAAGACCCCGCTGAGTCCCTGTAAGCCTGCTGTTGTCCCTGGAAAGCTGAGCCCCGTGAGGATCTCTGTCTGCTGACCGCTTTGTCCCTAGAAAGCTGTCCCTGTCTGCTGACCGCTTTGTCCCTAGAAAGCTGTCCCTGTCTGCTGACCGCTTTGTCCCTAGAAAGCTGTCCCTGTCTGCTGACTGCTTTGTCCCTAGAAAGCTGTCCCTGTCTGCTGATCAAGTGTCCCTGGAAGCTGCCTGCTGCTGAGTGTCTGCAAGCCGCCTACCGTGATTGTCCCTACAAGCCGCATGTTGCGGAGTGCCCTGAACTGCCCCCATTGTGTGCCGGGATTAATACTCGCTCGGACTGCGTATTGCGTGTCTGGAGTATCGTAGCTACCTGGACTCCCCCCCCCCCCCCCGAGTGCTCGGGCCATCGCTACCTAGATTGCCCTATCATGGGCCAGATTACAATTATTTTGGGCTCCGCCCCTCTCTTCCCCTTTTTGGGTACCCGGACGCTACCTTCCTACCCTGATTGAGTGCCTTCCATAGTTCAATAAAGCTTTGTGTGTTCTGTCCGCCTACACTTCCGTCACATAATAATAATAATATATAACATCAGGAACTTGTATATAATACCATTCCCTCCTCTCCCCTGCAGCTGCTACGGGCTGACACAGGGAAGATGGATCACATGACTGGACCGGAGCCGGCTGAATATAGTATAGACATCTTTATTACTCAGGTTAGTCAGCAGAGGTGTTAGGAGGGGGGAGGGGACAGATTTTAGACTAGTGAGGTATAGCCTGGAATTCCCCTTTAATGTCCTTGGACCATCGTGACCCATCAGTCTGTCTCTATGTGTATGGCAATTGTCGCCCCGTCCTGTCACCCCGTCCTGTCGCCCCGTCCTATCGCCCCGTCCTGTCCCCCTGTCCTGTCACCCCGCCCTGTCCCCCATCCTGTCGCCCCGTCCTGTCGCCCCGTCCTGTTGCCCCATCCTGTCAACCCATCCTTTAGCCCTGTCCTGTCGCCCCGTCCTGTCCTGTCGCCCCGTCCTGTTGCCCCGTCCTGTTGCCCCGTCCTGTCAACCCATCCTTTAGCCCTGTCCTGTCGCCCCGTCCTGTCCAACGTCCTGTCGCCCCGTCCTGTCCCCCTGTCCTGTCCCCCCGTCCTGTCCCCCTGTCTGTCGCCCCATCATGTCGCCCCGTCCTCCCCCTGTCCTGTCGCCCCCCGCCCCATCATGTCGCCCCGTCCTGTCCCCCCGTCCTGTGCCCCCGTCCTGTCCCCCCGTTGCCCCGTCCTGTCCCCCCGTCCTGTCGCCCCGTCCTGTCACCCCCGCTCTCTCCCATCTCAGCCTCTGCAGCCCGCGGTGTTGATTTTCACTCGGTTTAATGAGGACCTGAGTTGGCTGAGCTCCAGATTCCGGAGATTTCATGGGGGGTTCCTGTAAGCGAGGTGGTGGAGTTTTCTGACTTCATTCCTGACATGAATCCCCCGCTGAGCCCAGCGCCGCACAGAGATCGCCAACTATTGTTACAAAGTGCCGGAGAACAAAGGAGGCGATTCCGGGCCGACCCAATAAAAGGCAGCCACAGTGGCCTGCAGCGCGGGGCTCCGTTCTCAGGGGGGCCACACTGCCATTCCTGTGCCTCGCAGCACCAGAGTGCCTCTACTTTAGAGGTGTTTTCACTTTCCTGCAGATTTCAGGCATCAATTTCCAACTGAACTTCCTATTGTGCTGCGAGCGCTCCTACCCGCCCCATTCTATGACAGTTAAAGGGGAACTACACGGGGAACTGATAGTTTGAGTTTCATCACTTTTTGGAGAATTTGTATCTTCACATCTCCCACAATGGGGAGAATTCCTCCCAGTAGTGTGTCTCTGCCCCTCCCACAATGGGGAGATTCCCCCCAGTAGTGTGTCTCTCTGCCCCTCCCACAATGAGGAGATTCCCCCCAGTAGTGTGTCTGTGCCCCTCCCACAATGAGGAGATTCCCCCCCAGTAGTGTGTCTCTGCCCCTCCCACAATGAGGAGATTCCCCCCCAGTAGTGTGTCTCTTCCCCTCCCACAATGAGGAGATTATCCCCCAGTAGTGTGTCTCTTCCCCTCCCACAATGGGGAGATTCCCCCCAGTAGTTTGTGTCTCTGCCCCTCCCACAATGAGGAGATTCCCCTCAGTAATTTGTGTCTCTGCCCCTCCCATAATGGGGATATTCCCCCCAGTAGTTTGTGTCTCTGCTCCTCCCACAATGAGGAGATTCCCCCCCAGTAGTGTGTCTCTGCCCCTCCCACGATGAGGAGATTCCCCCCCAGTAGTGTGTTTCTGCCCCTCCCACAATGGGGAGATTTCCCTCCAGTAGTTTGTGTCTCTGCTCCTCCCACAATGAGGAGATTCCCCCCAGTAGTTTGTGTCTCTGCCCCTCCCACAATGAGGAGATTCCACTCAGTAGTTTGTGTCTCTGCCCTCTCTCACAATGGGGAGATTCCCCCCAGTAGTTTGTGTCTCTGCCCCTCCCACAATGGGGAGATTCCCCCCAGTAGTTTGTGTTTCTGCCCCTCCCACAATGGGGAGATTTCCTCCAGTAGTTTGTGTCTCTGCTCCTCCCACAATGAGGAGATTCCCCCCAGTAGTTTGTGTCTCTGCCCCTCCCACAATGAGGAGATTCCACTCAGTAGTTTGTGTCTCTGCCCCTCCCACAATGAGGAGATTCCCCCCAGTAGTTTGTGTCTCTGCCCCCCCTCCCACAATGAGGAGATTCCACTCAGTAGTTTGTGTCTCTGCCCCTCCCACAATGGGGAGATTCCCCCCAGTAGTTTGTGTCTCTGCCCCTCCCACAATGGGGAGATTCCCCCCAGTAGTTTGTGTTTCTGCCCCTCCCACAATGGGGAGATCCCCCCAGTAATTTGTGTCTCTGCCCCTCCCACAATGGGGAGATTTCCTGCAGTAGTTTGTGTCTCTGCCCCTCCCACAATGAGGAGATTCCCCCCCAGTAGTGTGTCTCTGCCCCTCCCACAATGAGGAGATTCCCCCCCAGTAGTTTCTGTCTCCCCCAGTCCATCCCTGTGGATGCAGTTGCTGTTTAGGACTTCAAGCTGTGTGTGAAACGCGTCGTCCCGCCATGTTCTGTGATTTCTGTAACACACTAGATATGGCGCCCCGCGCTGCTGGGGATTTCATCCAAATTGTAATGTGGAATCTGTGTGGAGTCGTACATTTATTATGTGTGGAGTCGTACATTTATTATTATGTGTGGAGTCGTACATTTATTATTATGTGTGGAGTCGTACATCTATTATGTGTGGAGTCATACATCTATTATGTGTGGAGTCGTACATCTATTATTATGTGTGGAGTCGTACATCTATTATGTGTGGAGTCGTACATCTATTATTATGTGTGGAGTCGTACATCTATTATGTGTGGAGTCGTACATTTATTATTATGTGTGGAGTCATACATCTATTATGTGTGGAGTCGTACATCTATTATTATGTGTGGAGTCGTACATCTATTATGTGTGGAGTCGTACATCTATTATTATGTGTGGAGTCGTACATCTATTATGTGTGGAGTCGTACATTTATTATTATGTGTGGAGTCATACATCTATTATGTGTGGAGTCGTACATCTATTATTATGTGTGGAGTCGTACATCTATTATGTGTGGAGTCGTACATTTATTATTATGTGTGGAGTCATACATCTATTATGTGTGGAGTCGTACATCTATTATGTGTGGAGTCGTACATCTATTATGTGTGGAGTCATACATCTATTATGTGTGGAGTCGTACATCTATTATGTGTGGAGTCGTACATTTATTATTATGTGTGGAGTCATACATCTATTATGTGTGGAGTCGTACATTTATTATTATGTGTGGAGTCGTACATCTATTATGTGTGGAGTCGTATATTTATTATTATGTGTGGATCGGTGTTGTGCTGCATCTGGGGGCCCCACTCTGGAGGATGGAATGTCAGAAAGACGAAATTCTGTGATCTGGGATGGGGCCAGGAGTGGGATCTGTAGGATCCCGCCTAGGAGATCATAGATAATAATGTGCAGCACAGCAGGAACCTGTGTAGGATAATAATAAAAAAAATATATATTACATCAGGAACTTGTATATAATAACATTGATGATAATTATAAAAAAGTAAAATAATGTTATATATATACATTTTTAAAATTATTATTATTATTATTATTATTATTATTAGTAATAATAATAATAATAATATATAATACATCAGGAACCTGTATATAACATTGATGATGATAATGCTGATGGTAATAAAGATATACCGTATATTGCATCAGGAACTTGTATATAATAACATTGATGATGATAATAATAATAACACTAATAATAAAAAATATATATTACATCAGCAACCTGTATATAATAATATTGAATGATGATGATAATAATAAAAATAATTAAAAAAAAAAGAATAAAAATATGCATTACATCAGGAACCTGAATATGATAATATTGATTATAACAATAATAATAATAATAATAATAATAATAATAAAAAAAATATATATAATAAATCAGGATCTTGTATATTAACAACATTGATGATGATAATAATATAATAAAAGTAAAATAATTGTATATATATATAGTATATATATATATATATATATATATACATTTTTAAAATTATTATTAGTAGTAGTATTATTAGTATTATTAATAATACAAATATATATATATTACATCAGGAACCTGTATATAACATTGATGATGATAATGCTAATGGTACTAAAAGATATACTGTATATTACATCAGCAGCCTGTATAGAGTATAATGATATTGATGATGGTGATAACAATAAAAAGAATTTTAAAAAAGAATAAAAAAATTATTTCATCAGGAACCTGTATATAATAATTATTGATAATTATTATAATAATAATAATGATTATATTAATAATAATAATGATAATAATAAATAAAAAATATATATTACATCAGGATCTTGTATATAATAACATTGATGATGATAAATTATAAAAAAATAAAATAATTATATATATATATACATTTTTAAAAATTATTATTATTATGATTATTGTTATTATTATGATTATTATTATTATTAATAATAATAATAATAATAATAATACAAATAATATATATAATACATCAGGAACCTGTATATAACATTGATGTCGATAATGATAATAATCTACAGTACATTACATCAGCAACCTGTATATAATAACATTGATGATGATGATAATAAAAATAATTTAAAAAAGAATAGAAATATGCATTACATCAGGAACCTGTATATAATAATATTGATGATACTATTAATATTAATAATAATAATAATAATACTATATCCTGTATATGACATCAGAACTCGTCTATTATCATATAGGAAATGTGACTTCCATCTAAATCTTTGGCTGCTGAAGATGTAAGGAAGCCCAAGTGACTGCGTGGTTCTGCTGGGACTTGTAGTTCCCCCTCCACAGTCATGGTCCCAGTCCCCCCGCCGGTCGGTATATTTTTATGAGGCAGGAAAGTGTTGGCGAGTCGCAGGAATCCTCTCTGGATATAATTTAATAGCTGCGCTTTTATAGCATCGTTACCACTTAAAGGAACCTCAGCGCTAAGCAGAAAACCCGCCGCATTTCTGCATTTATATTCCCCTAAATCAGCAGCCAGACGAATTCCTGCGATTTAATGGGGTCATTTGCACGGAGAGAAAAATGTGTTTTCCTTAAAGACGTAATTGCGTGTGCTTTACAGCGCAGCCCGTAAATAGGGGCGCACACACAGATCGCTGCGCTCCAGATGCAGCTCGGAGGACGCCTGGGTCGTAGCCGGGAGCTCCAGGCAAGGCGCAGCCATCACTGTGTGCACGTCCCGGCCGTTGTGTGCTTCTGATAAAGATTTGTTGAGATAGAATGCCACTGCGGACCTTTGTCTTCTTTCTGAAAATGCTAGTTGCCTGGCCATCTCTGCATGCAATAGGTAACTATAGCGGGGGTCTATTTCTAGCTGCCATCTGCATGCAATAGGTAACTATAGCGGGGGTCTATTGCTGGCTGCAATCTGCATGCAATAGGTAACTATAGCGGGGGTCTATTTCTAGCTGCCATCTGCATGCAATAGGTAACTATAGCGGGGGTCTATTGCTGGCTGCAATCTGCATGCAATAGGTAACTATAGCGGGGGTCTATTGCTTGCTGCAATCTGCATGTAATAGGTAACTATAGCGGGGGTCTATTGGCTGCAATCTGCATGTAATAGGTAACTATAGCGGGGGTCTATTCCTGGCTGAAATCTGCATGCAATAGGTAACTATAGCGGGGGTCTATTGCTGGCTGCAATCTGCATGCAATAGGTAACTATAGCGTATTGCTTGCTGCAATCTGCATGTAATAGGTAACTATAGCGGGGGTCTATTCCTGGCTGAAATCTGCATGCAATAGGTAACTGTCAGGAATGGACTTGCCAGTAATGGTGGGACTCACCTGCCTTGTGGGCTGCAGTACCAGGGCTGGCCAGCGGGTGCTCCCGGCAATCAGAGACTCAACCCTGCAGCCAGCCAAACACCTGAAGCTGATCATGGAGGTGTATTTAAGGGATGGCCAGACCTGCAGTCTGTGCCTTGGTGTGTGTTTTTCCTGGGCCCTGTATCTTGTTACCTGCATCCCTGTTCCTGTCCCTGTCTGACTGATTCATTGCTGACCCTGCCTGATCCGGACCTCTGCTGACTTCTCCTGTTTTATCCCTGGCTTGTGACCCCAACCATTCTCTGCCTGACCCCCTGTACCTACCTGCCCGATTGTTATTGACCCGGCCTGCCTGACGACACTTGCATTGTATGTACTGTTATCTGTGGGTGGTTGGTTTGGTTTGTTTGCACTGTGTTATGTTTTAGTATTACACTGCGTTTATGTTTGTATTGTTAGTCTTTAATAAATTATATTGTTTATAACTTATCTGAAGTCTGCGTTTCCCTGCGTCAGTCACATACCTCTGGTCACACCCCGGAGCCCTGACATTACACCAAGGCCCATCCTGACCAGAAGTGGCTGCACAGGGAAGCCATCTTGGCTTGTTGCTGGGAAGGATGGATCTGGATGAGGTTGTGTATTTATATCTGCTAGTGTTTGATGACAGAGAATATGCTTATCAAACTCTGAAGGAGTATCCCCGGGATGAACTGCTAGAATGTATATGGCTCGCTCATGTTCTAGTAGATCAGGGCACAGAATTCTCTGAGGTGCAGCCATTGATTCAGGTTTGTGTAGAGTTGGTTTCATCTGGTACCCCCGAATGCAGGGATGAATTTTTGCCGCCATTTAGTGCCGACCAGGTAGAGTCCCTGGTGTGGTTATTGGAGGATGATGTGGGTTGCTTCTTGGAGCATTATGCTGCATGTTCACCACAGATACTAAGGATTGTATAAACGCAGTGCAGTCATTGACCAGACAGGCTTTGTGTAAACTGAGCTTCGTTCAACCCATACTGCAGACATGGACAGACTTGTTGCACCCAGCCTCAGTCAGCTTACAACATCATTCCTCCACTCAAGGCACTCTTCCTGCATCCCCGACAGCACCCCCAGTGACTGCCCAGTATACTCTAACTACCACATACCAGTCCTCTGCTCCCACTCGCTGCATCTATCCTTTCTTTTAACCCTGTAAAGAAGTCCTCTGTAGCAACTGCTCCCTCCTCTGTTCCATCTTCCAGCTCTTCTCTGTCTCCAGCTGCTCCATTCGTTTGCAGACCTGCGTTTACTTGCAGTGCCCCAGTAGTTAAAACCAGAAAAAAACGGAAATTCTTTCCAACCAATACCATCCTGCCAGTATCCAAACCGGTGAGCCTGCCGTCTGAGAACCTGCCTTCCGTGGTTCAGCCTGGTGCCTCGGCACCCGCACTTCAGCCTGATGTCTGTACCCAGCCTGATGTCTGTACCCGACCTGATGAACTGATACAGCCTGATGATCCAGTGCCCGCTGTCCGAGCCAGACGATCCGGTACCTGATGACCCGGTGCCCACTGTCATGCCTGGTGACCCGATGCCCGCTGTCGAGCCAGACAATCCAATGCCTGATGACCCAGTGCCCACGGTCATACCTGGTGACCCGATGCCCGCTGTCGAGCCAGACGATCCAGCACCAGATGACCCGGTGCCCGCTGTCGTGCCAATTGACTCAGAGCCCACTGTCGTGCCTGTCGCCCCGCCTGGGGGCCCGATGCCTGTCGCCCCGCCTGGGGGCCCAAAGCCCGTCGCCCCGCCTGGGGGCCCGGCACCCCGCCTGGGGGCCCGGCGCCCGTCGCCCCGCCTGGGGGCCCGGCGCCCGTCGCTCCGCCTGGGGGCCGGCGCCCGTCGCCCCGCCTGGGGGCCCGGCGCCCGTCGCCCCGCCTGTGGGCCCGATGCCTGTCGCCCCGCCTATGGGCCCGGCGCCCGCCGCTCCTTCTGGGGGCCCGGCGCCCGCCGCTCCGCCTGGGGGCCAGCTCGATGTGCCTCTGCCCGGAGTCCTGCCCGGAGTCCTGCCCGATGTGCCGCTGCCCGGAGTCCTGCCCGATGTGCCGCTGCCCGGAGTCCTGCCCGATGTGCCGCTGCCCGGAGTCCTGCCCGATGTGCCGCTGCCCGGAGTCCTGCCCGATGTGCCGCTGCCCGGAGTCCTGCCCGATGTGCCGCTGCCCGGAGTCCTGCTCGATGTGCCTCTGCCCGGTGTGCCGCTATAGCGGGGGTCTACTTCTGGCTGCAATCTGCATGTAATAGGCACTCATGTCACTCCAGGCTTTCATGCCTCATGTCACTTTACCAAGCTGGAGCTGTAAGAGATCACCTTCCTCTCCATGTCAGGCTCCATCACCAGGTACATGACAAATATGGATTTGCCTCCACTCCCCCCCCATGGCCATTAATATGAAGTTGCCCCTTTCCCCATGGCCAATAATGTGGAGTTATCCCCTTTGTGGCTATAACAGCCTCCACCCGTCATGGAAGACTTTCCATGAGATTTTAGAGGATGTCTGTGGGAATTTCGGTCCATATGTTGGCTCAGGTACTGATGTTGAATGAGAAGACCTGGATCACTATCCCAAACCTGGTGGAGTTGAGGTCAGGGCTCTGTGCAGGACACTTGAGTTCCTCCACACCAAACTGGTCAAACCAAGTCTTTATGGAGCTGGACATCTCATTCCAAAAACCATGACCATTATTATGAGTTTACCCCATGGCATGTAAAATGGATTCGTCACCCTTTGTGGCTATAACATCCTCCACTCTTCTAGGAAGACTTTCCACAAGTTTTTGAAGGGTGTCTGTGGAAATTTGTGCCCATTTGTAAGGTCAGGATTAGAGATGAGCGAATCGAACTTGGCGAAGTGGAATTCGTTTCGAATATTAGGAAAAAATTCGATTCACGCCGAATCCGAAAATTAGCAAACTTCGGATGCACGAATCGAATTTTTCCCCGATCGGCCGATTTTCATCCCTTCTACAGCCGGCAAAAAGTGTCCCTGCAGAGAGCTCCGCTATTTCTGACAGTTCTCTGACAGTTCCTTCACATTTACAGCGGTTGAAACATTGTATCTATTTATTTCCGAATAAAAACATCTGTATCCTAAATGGAAACAAATAGATACAATGTTTCAACCGCTGTAAATGTGAAGGAACTGTCAGAGAACTGTCAGAAATAGCGGAGCTCTCTGCAGGGACACTTTTTGCTGGACTGGAATTCTTCTTATTTTCATCCTACTTCTTCTTCTTCTTCATCCTCATCCTCTTCTTTTTCATCCTCATCCTCTTCTTCTTCTTCATCCTCATCCCTCTTCTTCTTCTTCATCCTCATCCTCTTCTTCATCCCCATTCTCTTCTTCTTCATCCTCATCCTCTTCTTCTTCATCCTCATCCTCTTCTTCTTCTTCATCCTCATCCTCTTCTTCTTCTTCATCCTCATCCTCTTCTTCTTCATCCTCATCTTCTTCTTCTTCTTCCTCACCATCATCCTCTTCTTCTTCATCATCCTCATCTCTCTTCTTCATCCTCATCCTCTTCTTCTTCTTCTTCCTCATCCTCATCTCTCTTCTTCTTCTTCTTCTTCTTCATCCTCTTCTTCTTCTTCTTCTTCTCCTCATCCTCTTCTTCTTCTTCCTCTTCTTCTTCTTCTTCTTCTTCCTCCTCATCCTCTTCTTCTTCATCCTCACCCTCTTTTCTTCTTCTTCATCCTCATCCTCTTCTTCTGCTTCATCCTCATCCTCTTCTTCTTCTTCTTCTTCTTCATCATCCTCATCCTCTTCTTCTTCCTCATCCTCATCCTCTTTCCTCATCTCATCTTCTTCTTCATCCTCATCCTCTTCTTCTTCTTCTTCTTCATCCTCTTCATCTTCTTCATCCTCATCCTCTTCTTCTTCCTCATCCTCTTCTTCTTCTTCATCCTCATCCTCTTCTTCTTCTTCTTCTTCTTCTCTCCTCATCCTCTTCTTCCTCATCCTCTTCTTCTTCATCTTCCTCATCCTCTTCTTCATCCTCTTCTTCATCCTCATCCTCTTCTTCTTCTTCATCCTCATCCTCTTCTTCATCCTCCTCATCTTCTTCATCCTCATCCTCTTCTTCTTCCTCATCTCATCTTCTTCTTCTTCATCATCCTCATCCTCTTCTTCTTCATCCTTATCCTCTTCTTCTTCTTCTTCATCCTTATCCTCTTCTTCTTCTTCATCCTTATCCTCTTCTTCTTCTTTCTTTATCCTCCATCCTCATCCTTCTTCTTCTTCTTCATCCTTCATCTTCTTCTTCCTCATCCTTCTTCTTCTTCCATCATCTTCTTCTTCTTCTTCTTCTTCTTCTTCATCCTCACCTCATCCTCTTCTTCTTCATCATCCTAATCCATCATCCTCTTCTTGTTCTTCTTCTTAATCCTCATTTCTTAAATCTTCTTCTTTCATCCTCATCTTCTTCTTCTTCATCCTTCATCTTCTTCTTCTTCTTCCTCTTCTTCTTCATCCTCGGTTCTCTTCTTCTTCATCCTCATCCTCTTCTTCTTCTTGCTGCTGGGGGGACTTTTTAACATAGGCCTCTGTATGGCCTTCAATTTAAGCTGCTTACGCTTCGCCACTCTGCCATGGGCCCCCGTACCGCCTCCTCATGCTGCTGCCAGGCCTGTAATCTGTCATGGGCCCCCGTACCGCCTCCTCATGCTGCTGCCAGGTCCAGAGTGTGTCATGGGTCCCTGTACGGCCTCCCATTGCTGCTGTCTCCATCGCCACACTCTGCCATGTGCCACTTTCAGGTCTCCTCACACTGCTGGTGGGTTCCATTTTGTCATAGGGTGCTGTATGGCCTCCCATTGCTGCTGCCTCCACCGCCATACTGTGGCTCCACACTCTGGTTTTGGCCCCGTGACTGCCCAAATGAGTGAAGTGTGCGGTGATTCTAAGATCGACGGCACTCATCTGCATGTCATACTGACTGACAGTATTATTTCTCTTCCCCAGCAGACTCCAAGGGCATTTAAATTAAAGGTACAGTGTTCTGCACTAATATAAAGGCTCTCTGAAGCCTAGAAACCCTTTTATAAGTTAAATTCGCAGCGAATAAATTCGCATCGAATCGAATTTATTCCGCAAATTCGGCGAATCAGCCGAATCGAATTTTTGAATAATTCGCTCATCTCTAGTCAGGATACTTGTGCAGGATACTTGAGCTCCTCCACACTAAACTGGTCAAACCATATCTTTATGGTGATGTTCGTTGAGACATGGCTCACACTATCGGAGTTTCAATTCATCCTAAATGTGTTCAATAGCGTTGAGGTCAGGGCGCTGTGAAGACCACTCAAGTTCCTCCACACGAAACCCATCAAACTATGTCTTTAAGAAGCTGGCTCTACTCTTCTAGGAAAGCTTCTCACAAAGTTTGGATTATGTCTGTGGGAATTTGTGTTCAATCAGCCAAAAGAACATTTGTGAGGTCAGGAAAAGATGTTGGATGAGAAGACCTGGCTCACGCTCGGCATTCCAATTCTTCCCAATAGTGTTCAGTAAGGTTGAGGTCAGGGCTCTGTGCAGGACAGTCGAGATCCTCCACACCAAATTGGTCAAACCATGTCTTTATGAAGTTGGCTTTGAGTCCCCATCCACCCCGTGTCTGTAACAGCCTCCTCAGGTACTGATGTTGGATAAGAAGATCTGGCTCACCACTGACATTCCAATTCATTCCAAAGATGTTCAGTAGGGTTGAGGTCAGAGCTCTGTGAAGACCACTCAAGTTCTCCCTCAGCAAACCAATCAAACTATATCTTTAAGAAGCTGACTCTACTCATCTAGGAAAGCTTCTCACAAAGTTTGGATTATGTCTGTGGGAATTTGTGTTCAATCAGCCAAAGAACATTTGTGAGGTGAGGTAAAGATGTTGGATGAGAAGACCTGGCTCACTGTTGGCATTCCAATTCTTCCCAATGGTGTTCAGTAAGGTTGAGGTCAGAGCTCTGTGCAGGCAGTCGAGTTCCTCTACACCAAATTGGTCAAACCATGTCTTTATGGAGTTGGCTTTGAGTCCCCATCCACCCGTATCTGTAACAGCCTCCTCAGGTACTGATGTTGGATGAGAAGACCTTACTCACTGTCGGCATTCCAATTCTTCCCAATGGTGTTCAGTAAGGTTGAGGTCAGGGCTCTGTGCAGGACAGTACATATCCTCTAAACCAAATTGGCCAAACCATGTCTTTATGAAGTTGGCTTTGAGTCCCCATCCACCCCATGTTTGTAACAGCCTCCTCAGGTACTGATGTTGGATGAGAAGGCCTGGCTAACCTTGGCATTCCAATTCATTCCAAAGATGTTCAGTAGGGTTGAGGTCAGGGCTCTGTGAAGACCACTCAGGTTCTCCCACAGTAAACCAATCAAACTATATCTTTAAGAAGCTGACTCTACTCTTCTAGGAAAGCTTCTCACAAAGTTTGGATTATGTCTGTGGGAATTTGTGTTCAATCAGCCAAAAGAACATTTGTGAGGTGAGGTAAAGATGTTGGATGAGAAGACCTGGCTCACTGTCGGCATTCCAATTCTTCCCAATGGTGTTCAGTAAGGTTGAGGTCAGGGCTCTGTGCAGGACAGTCAAGATCCTCTAAACCAAATTGGTCAAACCATGTCTTTATGAAGTTGGCTTTGAGTCCCCATCCACCCCATGTCTGTAACAGCCTCCTCAGGTACTGATGTTGGATGAGAAGACCTGGCTCACCATTGACATTCTAATTCATCCCAAAGATGTTCAGTAGGGTTGAGGTCAGGGCTCTGTGAAGACCACTCAGGTTCTCCCATAGTAGACCAATCAAACTATATCTTTAAGAAGCTGACTCTACTGTTAGGAAAGCTTCTCACAAAGTTTGGATTATGTCTGTGGGAATTTGTGTTCAATCAGCCAAAAGAACATTTGTGAGGTGAGGTAAAGATGTTGGATGAGAAGACCTGTCTCACTGTCGGCATTCCAATTCTTCCCAATGGTGTTCAGTAAGGTTGAGGTCAGGGCTCTGTGCAGGACAGTCAAGATCCTCTAAACCAAAATTGGTCAAACCATGTCTTTTTATGAAGTTGGCTTTGAGTCCCCATCCACCCCGTATCTGTAACAGCCTCCTCAGGTACTGATGTTGGAT